ATTCTACTTCGGCACTTGGATAATCCCCCACAATGTCGGCAGGATTATTTCGATGACGATTAACGTACGGAAAGTTTAAGTAAATAGTACACTGGAATCTCAAAGGAAAAATAAAGGCAAAATAAAGCAGAAACAAAGAATGGCTTTTTGTAGTAAATTGGGCAGCACTTCATGGTCTTCAATGCGGCTCCCCTGTTCTAGTCCTCAAGCTCTCCTTTTATAGTGAATGTTTCTTACGTGAACTACCTCAGGAAGTGCAGTTGAGGGTGAGAGAATCCAGGGAGTCGCGATTCTGTTTTTGGGCTTCTGCTGACACGTTCTCAGAAGTGAACATTGGTCTGTTTTTGCAAGTGTGACGATCGTGAAGGGTATATGACGTTCGTGATACACATGACGTTCGTGACGGTCGTCACACACGTGACGGTCGTGAGGGACCTGTGACGACCGTCATATTAGCAAAATTCATTTCTTCTATTTTTTTCGTCCTTTTTCTTCTGTTTTGTGCCTTCTAGCATTTGTTTTCTTTGTCTTGCTTTATTTGAGTTTGAACTTCGTATACCTGCAAAAATACTTAACAAACAATGTGGAGAAGTCCGAAATCGGGGTGAAATTGACCATTAGTAGCATAAAATCATGGCATTTAATATATACGTTTTCGCGTTATCAGCAAGTTTGGTCAGCTAAGCACAAAGAGAGTTGGATGTCATACTGGATGTATCGCTACCGCGAAAATAAGGTGCCGGCACAACAGAAGAGTCGCCACCTTTCGTTATTTATCCCTCATAACGGGAAAGGAAACGATCGGAAAAACCTGACGAAAAGGTATAAGACAAGGTCATCGCAACCATTATCTGGGTTCGGGAGTCTGTTACGCAAGGGAAAGGTATTAGCAGCCCTCACGTCCATCGTACTCGATGGGATCCACGCTTGTTGTGTTTATCTGACGGGTTGGTTTTATCTATCTACCTATCAAGGCCGGTCTAAAAGGCAAAGAAAATGACTCGGCAAAGCGTTGCGCTTTATGCCTACGTATCCTTGTCGCTACTCGAAAAATGCATCGCGCAACGACGGGGAGGCGAAAAAGATAGACAGAAGAGTCGCCACCGAATTTTATTTATCCCATGAGGGGAAAGGAAAATATCGAGAAAACCTTAAGAAAAGAATGGATAAGATGGTCTCGCAACCAAGAACGGGTTCGGAAGCCGGTTATGCGAGGGGAAGGTATTAGCACCCCTCGCATCCATCGTACTCGATGGGAACCTTTTGTTTGTCGTACGTGTGAATTTATTTGCTTAAATACTATGCTATAAAGAGAGTGTTCCAAGGGGAAAGGGAAAGGTTAGAAACGGGGAACAAAGGGGTGACGAGGGAAGGAAAGGACTCGATAGGACTTCGCGGTCCTAGGCCTACGTATTCTCAACAAATGTGAGAAAGTCAGAGTCGACGTAGTTCGGGAAAATACGGGTATAGGGGGATTGTGCTCGCCAAGACATCACCGTCTTGTGCCTACGTATTCTCATCTGGTATGAGAAATCAGAGCAGACGTAGTTCGGCCAACTACGGGTGAAAGGTGAAAAAGGGAGCTCGCTAAGACATCGCCGTCTTGTGCCTACGTATTCTCATCTGGCATGAGAAATCAGAGCGAACGTAGTTCGTGCCTACGGTTTGTTGATGTTTTTTATGGATGATGCTATCGTGCACATTCTAGCAGTTAGGTGGTTTGCTGCTCGCTCGTTGGAGACTTAGGCATTACCTGTTTGCGGTAGAACGGACGTAACATATCCTTTTGAAAGATTGATTAGTTTTCGCCACGCGGGGCAAGAAGTCACGTTTGATTGATTGGATTGTTTTTTAGGGGGCGAGACAGGTCTTCGGATAGTAACCCCTACGGGTAGTACCCAATTCTTTATCTCAAAGTTTTTGTTATAAAAGGGTGTGGCGAACGAGGCGTCTTCGTATTGAAAGACGAGTATCGAAACCACCCTCACTACAGTGGGCATCCTAACGCTCGAAGAAGAAGAGGTCTACACCCAATCCTCTTTCTTTAGTTCAATGCAAAGAGAACTTCGTTCTCTTATTAAAATATTTTTGGTTTTGAATGGTAAGTGCTTTGCGACAGAGAACCCTACGGTAAACGTCAGCACTCGGGATAGGAGAAGACCTACGCCTAACCACTCCACGACCATTCAAGTCTTTGTATGAAAAGGAATTTGAAAATGCACTCGGTACGTGACCGAGGTTTTAGGTGGGAAAGGTTTCGGAAAGGAGTTGTGAAAGTGAGAGGTGGTGGACAAAGTCGCATCTTCGTAATGAAAGACGAGTATCGAGACCACCCTCACTACAGTGGGCATCCCAACACTCGAAGAAGAAGAGGTCTACACCCAATCCTCTCTTTTTAGTTCAATACAAAGAGAAATTTATTTTAAAGATGGTTTGAAAATGGACTCGGTACGAGACCGAGATTTTCGAAAAAATGCACTCGGTGCGGAGCCGAGGTTTTAGGAGGAAAAGGGGTGGAAGAGTCTTCGTATTGAAAGACGAGTGTCGAAACCACCCTCACTACAGTGGGCATCTCGGCACTCGGAGAGGAAGAAAGTCTACACTTAATCCCCTCGTTTAGTTCAATACAAAGATGATTTGATTTTGAAGATTGTTTGACAATGTTTTTGAATCGAGTTGGGATAAGAAGCGAGGAGAGAAAAATGGGTGGTCTCAGATCCAACATTACTTATCAATAATTTGACTGGTAATGAATTACGGAGGTCTCGTCATCGACCAAAACAGATGAAATAAAATAAAATGTCCAATAACAAAAGAAGAATAAAATCCAACTTTTGAGATGATAATAAATATCCTAAACTCTAATATTATAAACTAAAAATAAATATATAATATTTACATAATAAAAAGTTTATAAAAGAAAATAATAATAGTTTACTTATAATGAGAAAATGCTATATATACAAAGTTATGAAAAAAAATAAAATAAAATAAATAATAAAAACAATAAAAATTCAAAAAAAATAAAATTGATAAAATGATTAAAATCATAAAAACAAAAGTTGATAAAATAATTAAAATCATAAAAAACAAAAGTTTGATAACTAAAATAAAATAAAATAATTAAAAACAAAAGGTGACAGAGCCCTCTTCTTCCCAATCGTCTCTCTCGCTCTTGTTCTCACCCTTTCACGATAACCCCCAACATGACTCCTTCTTCAGCCATCTTAGAGCAGCAAGAACTGAGCGAAGCGGTTCATCATCTTTGCCGCGAAGACGTCATGTCGACCCCAACCTCCTCTGATCTTGCTTTCACACTATTCTCTCCTTCTCACTATTTTGGATTTCATCTTCTGAGTTCGATTAAGGTCGTGATTTGGTTAAAATGGGTAATGAGTTTACTTCTGTGAATGGGTTTCCACGAGTTAGGTTTATGATGGTGTGTGGTTGGAAGAAGAATGGTTTGAGTTGATGAGGGTTAAAGGGTTACGGACGTTGAAAGAAAAAGAGGAAGATGATATTTGAGAAGATGAAGCGGATGATTTACGGTGGGTTCGCTGGGTTTTGCCAGAAATGGGTTCTCATCTGAAAAGGGGTTTGAATAGGGGTTGTTGGAAGGTTGAATCTGAAGGTGAAATGGAGGATTGAGGTGTGGTTACAGGGGTTCTGTTGGCTGTTTCTTGGATGAAAAAGATAACTACGAAGGATGACAAAGTTATTGGTGAGTCTGAAGATGATGAGTTCTGGGAATATTGTTTACGTTTGGTTTTTTAACAGGTGTTTGTTTTGAGCGAGAAGGTTGTGTTTCCATATCAATGATTCAAGGTAGTTGCGAGGTTATTTTGGCAAGGCGGCATGTGATTAAGGCACAGAGATGAGGTTCTGTAGTTTGATGGGAGTTTATTGGAAACAGAAGAAGATGATGTATGAAGTTTTTGATTGAAATGAGTTGAAGGTTGAATTTATTTTTCAGAGGTTGAAGATGGATGAAAGTGGTGAATGAGGGGGAGGTTCCGAGTGGTTTCTACTTGTTGCTGCAAAGTGGTTTCGAAGACAAAGATTGTGGTTTTTGGAGAGAGTGAAGAGTAGTGTCTGAGTTTTTGAGTGAGGATCTGTTGTGTGGTATATAGAACTGAGGTTGGTTTGAAGCAACCTTTTCAAAAAAGTTCCTTGTCTGGCGTGGGATTTTTGTAGCAGAATTTGTCTGGTGTGCTGGGTGCAGTAGTGTGGTTGTCTGGCGGTACGGTTTGCGGCAGGTTGTTGTCTGCTTGTTGGTAATGGTTGTGATACGGCTGGGAGGTTGGGGTAGAGACTGATAGAGTCAAAAGTAAATCTTTTACCATGTTACTTGCCTGTGCAATTTGATCAAATGTTCCCTCAAGTTCAATGTTTCTAAGATTTGGGTCAGATTCATGGTCACGAATTGAAAATTTGACTCCTGTTTGGCGACAGATCTGCTTCGAGTTCACACCACCCTTTCCAATGATGGCTCCAGCCAAGGAAGCCTCTACACTGATCTTGGCAGTGGAATTGGCACCAAAGCTAGTAGTGCCCAGACCAGAGGGAGCCTCAGTTCGACCAGTCATACGATTAACTGTTGTAGGTGCCAATTGTCGGTGATCATCAATTGATGGAACAAAAGGTTTGCCAAGTTCCCACTCACCATGGGCAAAATGGCACTTGTCACCAAATTTGCAGCCCCCCGCAGAATTAAACTTATTACATATGCGGGTTTTAACAGCTTGCAGTGCAGATCCATTGTTTTGACTTGAACTGTTGCTAAAAGTAAATATATTTGCGGGTGATGTTGACAATGACGTAGATGCTGCAGATGGTTCTGATGATTGAGCATAGACTTTATTTCGTCGAAGACTGCAAACAGAAAGAGTCCCGTCTCCACTTGTGGCCAATAGTTTCATTGCATCAGATGCAAATGTTATGTCTGAAATGTAATCCTCGTGGACTTCAAATGAATTGCAACAAGAACGTTCTCTGGTATCCTAAACCTTAATACAACCATCATCATCTCCTGAAGCAACAGTTGACTCGGTCAAGTTTATCAACCTGTTGATCGCATCCTCATGGGCATTATCAAGTCGGGCAATGGTTGATCCAGTTTCCACATCTGTAGCCAGTATCGAGAAATCGGGAGAGCCCGTCAACAGCGCTCGTCCACCATTGATGAATCGCGCAGCTCTGCAAGACTCGTTGTGGGCATGAATTTCCAACACCCTCACAGGATCACTATTAGTATTATCCGGGCTATAACGGTATAAGTGAAGGTCGCCGTCTATGAGTCCGGTTGCAACGAGATTATCTGATGGATGAAAATCAATGTCAAATGCAAGTTTCCCCAAATTGATTTCCATTCCTCTGCAGAGGGGATGTGGCTTCAGTGTTGACCGGAGAATTTGGCTGTCGGTGGGGCGACAATGGACAGTGGCGGCGCGCCGCGAGCAGAGAGATGGAAGTTGGCCGCACCAGTAGAGCCTTTTGTTTCTTTCTCGGATGTTATGACGGGTCTGGGAGTAGTGCCTTGCAGATCTGACCCTTTAATAGTATCAGTGTTCCACCTGTGTTGGCTTCTTTGCAGGCTCATTATTTTCGACTAATGTTTGTTCAGGATATTTTCGCTTCTCTCGAATTCAGTTGGGCAACAGCAGCCGATTGACCCTTGAGCATCAAGCTGGAAGGACTGCCAGCAGCAGTTCTAGTCCCAGTTTCAGAGTCAGTTGCCAGAGGACTACGATTGCGTGAGTCTGCTGGCTCATCACTATCAGCAGAGCAATCACTGAAGACTGAAGTGTTGACAATATCTCCATCCAGATCTGCAGGATTTGTCCCACAGCGTATGCATGCAGATTTCGGAAGTGGAAGAAACAATGATGACTTGGATGACTTTTCCAGTCTTGACTTTGCTGATATACTAAAAAAAGTTTCTTAAATCCTCCTTCACCGTATTATCTGCAAATATAAACTCAACAGCATTCTTTGATAGCTCAAACATCTCCTTCCTTCCAAGGCCGAATGAAGAAGCGGCTATTTTGTATTCATTGGAGAGACAGGTAGAGAACACACCCAAATCATCAGTACACGGAACTACAGGATGTTTTGCTTTATACAAGTCCACAAAATGATGAGCATCTATTGATGGAACGGACAACGTCCTGATGTTCGACGTCAAGCAAAGTTCAACCGGAATTTTAGAGGACTTCAGCTTTCTCCAGTGTTCCTCCTCAAAGAAACATGCATGTCCAATCCTCCCAGGAAGAAAGTCAAGCATATCATGTATCTCTCTCGAATTAGGTACCTCTCCACAGTGAAGAGTTACGTAAAGACCTTGCTCTCGAGCAAATTTTAATGCTGGAAAATATGTAACCCATTCACCCACAGCTGGATTCCCAGAGAGGTCAATTCCAACGACCCCAAAATGCCTCATTTCCAGGGCAAACATGACAGTTTCCATTGCTGCTTCTGATGTTTCCCTACGGTCAATGCTTAAGAGAAGTCTAACAAAGATTTGTTTCCTAGTATTTTCATTAATTTTATCATTTGTAGCTAAGACTGAGTGTATAGGGTTTGAATGAATTTGTAACTCCTCGTTGTGAGGAATAAAACACACATCAACTGAACTCACAGCTCTTAGACCTTCCAAAACAGCTTCAATATAAGAGCGTTTGCTCATTCCTTTGGCCTCATTTTTCTTTGGAGTAGTTATCAACTCCACATACACAACATTTTCTGACGCAAAATCTTCAACAACTTCTTTGGTAATTCTTGTAACGGTGGCATGGTCAGTTGTAAGAATGTGGATTACGTCAAACAGCTTGAATACCTCAGATAATGAACGATCATTTTTGAGGATAACATGCTCTACTTGAGAGAAATCTATGAGACCCTTGTGACCCAAAGCTTTAGCAAGTTCTAGAAGGGTGGAGTCTCTAATGGATCCATTGAGGTGAGCATGGAGTTCTATCTTTGGCATTGGCATACACCACTCCATTTCTCTCTTCCCGATTTGGGTGATACTTTGAATTAGTCCTTGAGCATTAAAGTCAGTCACAGAACAAACTTAATCATGAGTCAATTGTCAAATCATTCTTGATGTTTGCCATTTGAAAACATGATGAGTTGAAGCCTTCATGGAACACTCCATTTAAATCAATGCACCATGACCTTGATAACAAGGTAGATCCTTTTCTTGCTGATGAATTAAGTCAAACCTGGACTTCGACATACACTTCACTCATTCCTACTTAATGAACCCCAACCAAAACCTATCCAATTCGGCTCAATCTTATGATGGAAGCAACATATATTTTTTTATTTTTCTGCCCCTGACAATCACATATGCTTATCTGTTTGTCTTCAAGGACCTTGACTTGTCTCTGATAAGGGTAACCACTTGGTGGCTTGAATATAACCTCCTTGATCAGGTTAAAAACCATTGGTAATTTTTTGTTAGACACACATTTCTTGATCCCCTGTGAAATGCAAAATGCTATGCAATGCAATGCTTACGTATGTGCTGATGCAATGAAATAAAACATAAGCCAGAGAGGTCGGTCAAATTTTGGGGTACAACAGTTGCCCCTATTCAAGCGACTTAGACCTGAAGGGATGAAAGGTAAGCGAATTTCATACAATCAAGGTAAAAGACGGTTGAATACCCAAGGACCCGGAAATTTGACAACCGCGAAACGAACTTCTGACATCGCCGCCAGACACCCATATTAAGTAGAACGTCTGACCTTGCCGTCAGCTCCTTTAACAGCATCTAACCTCGCTGTCAGATCTCAGCGTCAAAATTATAAATAAACTGACTTTATCGTCGGTCTTCAATATTTTCTGACTTCGCCGTCAATTTTTTCACAGAACTTTGGTAAAGCCCCTGACTTCGCCGTCATTTCTTAAAACAATCTTCTGACTTCGCCGTCATTTCCAACAGTTTTGACTTCGCCGTCAATTCCCATATTAAGTGGAACATCTGACTTCACCGTCAGTCATAAATCAAGTAAACATCTGACCTCACGGTCAGGCCTCGACATTAAGTCGGTAAAAAGATCTAACCTCGCCGTCAGTCCTCTGTTAAATACAAACAGATATTGAATCCAAAGATACGATCCTCCGACATCGCCGTCAAGACAAAATCCAACATCGCCGTTGGAAGAACCAAATTACCTGACATCGCCGCCAAGAACAAACATCTAGCATCGCTGCTAAAGAATCAAACCACTCGACCTCGCCGCCGAAAATAAACATCCAACCTCGCCGCTGAACAAACAAATCACTCTGACATCGCCGCCAAGACAAAATCCAACATCGTCGTTGGAAGAACCAAATTACCTGACATCGCCGCCAAGAACAAACATCTAGCATCGCTGCTAAAGAATCAAACCACTCGACCTCGCCGCCGAAAATAAACATCCAACCTCGCCGCTGAACAAACAAATCACTCTGACATCGCCGCCAGAAACAAACATCCAACCTCGCCGCTGAACAAAATTACCTGACATCGCCGCCAGAAAAAACATCCAACCTCGTAAGATAACCCTGACATCGCCGTCATCAATCATAAATCCGACAAATATCTGACATCGCCGCCAAATCTCAACATCTTCCAATGATGGACGGAGAGAAACATTATACTCACATCGTCTAATGGTAGACAGGAAGAACAATATCCAAAATACTCACATCGTCCAATGATGGACGGGAGGAACAATATCCAAAATACTCACATCGTCCAATGATGGACGGGAAGAACAATATCCAAAATACCCACATCGTCCAATGATAGACGAGAGTAAAATCAAAACCAAATCTCGCATCGTCTAATGATAGACGAGAGTAAAATCAAAACCAAATCTCGCATCGTCTAATGATAGACGAGAGGAAAATGAAAACCAAATCTCGCATCGTCTAATGATAGACGAGAGGAATATCTGAACCAAATCTCGCATCGTCTAATGATAGACGAGAGGAATATCTGAACCAAATCTCGCATCGTCTAATGATAGACGAGAGGAAAATTTGAACCAAATCTCGCATCGTCTAATGATAGACGAGAGGAAAATTTGAACCAAATCTCGCATCGTCTAATGATAGACGAGAGGAAAATTTGAACCAAATCTCGCATCGTCTAATGATAGACGAGAGGAAAACCATAACCAAATCTCGCATCGCCTAATGCTAGACGAGAGGAAAATCTGCTGGGGATGTCATCATCAGAGGATTGATGGACAAAATTATAACCGTCATATGATCTGAAATCCAAGTAAACCGACAAACTGTCTGAACAAAGCTGCTGGATAAATGCCCCTGGACCGATTACAGAGTGATTCACGTTGCCACAGAAGGCTAATGGAAAAACTGGCTTATGCTTCGCATGCATATGTTTGAATATGTTTAATGACGTAATGCTCTATACAAAATGGAAATGTTACGCATTTGAGGATGAAATGCAAAGATGATGCAAATATGATAACTATATGCAAAATGCAGATGCAGGCTCGGGCTGCTGGGGAAAGCTGGATCTGAAAGAATCACTCCAGCAAAATAAGTGCTGAAGAGGTGAATTCAACTCTGCTAGGAATAACCGGATGTGCCAAGTATGATTGGACTCTCCTGGGGATGGCTTACACATGCCAATAATGATTGGGCTTTTGCTGGGGAAGACAGGTGAAGGGTTACGACTTCCCGACATTCATCTTGAACCTGAAGATTGACTGCACCTGCTTGAATAGCTCTGAGTAGCTTTGAAGATGTGGAGAGGAAAAGTTCCTTTATTTCCAAACTTGCCCCAGCCTTTGGGTTCTCTGTATAAATCTTCCTTGAAAGGAGATCTAAAAGTTTTGTACCCTGATGGTTTGATAGGAACTGCCTCAGCATCATGAACCTTAAAGAGGTGCTTCCGATTAGCTGCCTTCTGGGTAAGGATAATATCTGTGCTCTTGGGGTGACCTGCCCCAGCCTAGAAGTGATTTGCCCCTGATTAGCCGATTTGTAGAGAAGTGCCCCTGGCTGACTTCGAGAGATTTATCGAATCTCGACCTGATTGCCCCAGATTAACTGATCTTCGGATGGCTGACTCCCTTTTATGATCATTTGATATGCCTTGCCCCTGCTCAACGGAGTATTCAAGCGTTCTGCATCTTACCGATCAAACTTTCCACTGTAGAAACTTTCCTGCTGTCAAGTACTTACTCGCGAGTAAAACAAATTGTTTTGCAAATGATAATATCAGTGCAATGCATATGACAGTTTTGAAATTCAAGTCTGTTCACTAGAAAAAGTTGTGATGTATAGTGAATGAATCACTTATCGGAATGTCAATATCAATACCCATAGGGTAAGAAAAAAACCTTTT